TATAAGCAAAGTCCGACATGACGAGAGAGGCCTTAAGCGAGCCCAATCCTTTCCAGTGCCGACACTGGAAAGGACGTCAGGTCTTCAATTCAACTCGACAGAGGCCGCGGCGCTGCTATCGGACAACCCCCTCGGTGCCTGCAGCCCGTTAGCCCTGGACTCGGTGCTCCGGCTTCCAACACTCATGCTCCTCGGTGCCCCGCTGCCACCGAGCCAGTACCGATTGAGATCGATCCAAGACATCGAGGTCAGCACGAGACGCCTCGAATGTTCAGACTTGGACGGACATGAAGTCCCGTCCATTGTCACGAGCAGTGCTCCTATCAACGGAATAGCACTCGCTAGCGCCAAGATTCTGGCCAAGGATGGCGAGACGTTGATGGACCTCCGCAACGCAGAGTACGTGGCAGTGGCCCCTTTACAGGCAGACCCTGCCCTCGAATCTTTATTCTTTCAGCGCAAGATTCTTCCCGACATAACGTACGCAGGCAACTCTGACTTGGACTATGACTCTGGCACAGGCCAAGAAGGCCACGCTTTCTTGAGTCTGACCAGATTCTTCGAGCTTCTCACGCACAAGTGGCCCATGGCTGATCTCGCGATTGATGTTGGCAATGACGACGGACTTGACTCCGCGGCGTACCACATCGTATCGGGCCTTCGGAAACTGAGCTGGTCAACCAACAGGTCACGGTTCAGATCTCTCACCATCGTCAACCAGAGCATTGACGCCTCAGAAAGCGGAACAAGTATTACCAACAAATGGCCAATTGATAATCGTCTCAGCATCACCCCCTCACTCGATTCGGATCCTGACGCCCAGTTCCATGCCGTTTTTACCCTGTCAGACCGATACGAATCCGCCTCGAGTCGCGTGCACCCATCTGGCTTCATATGCTTACTCAAGAAAACCAAGAGTGAAGAAGATAACCGGCCTGATAGCCATGACGGTGCGACACAGTTCACATGGCCATCCAATCTTGAGCCCGTATATTCCGCCCAGAGCAAAGAAGGCTGGGATTGGATCATTGGAAGACGCCGAATTCAGAAGAGCCTGACTGGTTCCGAGACCGATGCTGCTGGAAAAAGCGAATCTAACAGCTCTAGGATGGGGGTTCGGGTCTTTGCGCCAGCCGAGTCACTGCCTCGCAGCTTCAGGCTTGCAGATTCACATTTCGAAGTTCAGGATGTTTCCGCGTTGCAAGACGAGTCGTTGTTCTCCGAACCGTTCGACGCCATCATCCTCGACACTGGTGATAGCTCGATTCTACTGCGAGACGCCGCAGGCCCAGATGAGTCTCTCACGTGGACGCAGAGTCTCGTGGGGCACGTACAAACACTGGTTTGGGTGTCTTCGGCGTCCACAGCGCAGCCATTCAACGGTGTGGATGGCGCTTTCATCCGAACTCTCGCCACGGAGAACCCCCGTTTCCGAGGCGTGAGTATCGCCGTAAGCAAGAGCGTTGGGGATAGTGAGCTGGAAAATTTGTGCAGTCAGATTTATGAGCGCACCAGGGATGGAGACGCCGAAGTTGAGCTATACATACAAGACGGCATCGTCCAATGTCTCCGCTACCACCCGGATGACGAGCTCTCGGCGTCGGTCGACCTGGTCCCGGCAACTCGAAACAGCGCGGCTCATGGCTTCGAGTACAAAATCAATGGCGTCGGTAACGGCCGTGTCGAGATGATCACCACTGTTCCATCCTTACCCAATACAGCACGGGTCTGTGGCTCTGAAACCCTTGTCAGCGTGTTGGTAGAGGTTTCCCTCGTTGGTGGCGAGGACGTTGCCAAGATTCATGGCACTAGTGGCCCGCTCGCTCGCGAGGGACTGGCAGCTTTCTTCATCGGTAGGACGCTGGAAACAAGTGATCCAGATAGACCATATGGCAACCGCGTCTTCGGCTGGTGCTCTGGTGCCCACGCTTCTACGGTATACGTCCACACCAGCCAGATAATTCACCTCGAAGACCATGTAACTGCTGATGATGCTCAGCATGGTAAGAGTAACCTTGGCCTCGTGCGCGCCCTTGGCAGACTGGCGTCACAAGCTACAGCTGCGTGCCTCGTCGCCTTCGAGGGAAGGGTTCGCCAAAACGACAGGATAAGGGCGAACGAACTGTCGGCCGCCATCAGGATCGCCGTGACCAGTGTCGCTGCCAGGAACTCTGCAATGATTGTAGACAGCGACTCGGAAAACGGCCATCGGCAAGAGGAGTCAACTCACGACCTTGAAATATCATATGACGGGAGCAGCGGTTTTCTAGTCAACGGCCGCCATGTGCGTCTTGCATCTGTACTGGAAAGATATGCCCTGACCACGGTCCTGGCCGCCAGTGCCCCCCTGGACGCCAAGTCTCTGCCCGAGACTGAGGTCTTTGGCATTCAAGACTTCTCTGAAGCATTCGATTATGCAGCGAAGAATCCCCTCTCTACCACCATACTTCGACACGCTGGTGGGCTCGGATCCCTCAACACTGCCTGGATCACACCGAGAACGACTGCCACCACCGACGAAAAGCAGGAAGAAGAGCAGCTCTTCCGAGGCGACGGCGCGTACATTGTCCTCGGTGGCTTGGGCGGTCTCGGTCGACATCTTTTACCCTGGATGGTCAAGAATGGCGCCAAGCACGTCGTGGCCCTGGGTCGCAAATCACCGCTCTCAACTGACGGTGCGCTCGAACTCACAGATCGCATAGCCGGCCTCGGCGGCAGACTAAGCATCCTTCAGGCCGATGGCAGTCAACCAGACGAGGTCGAGGCCGCGCTCGCTCAGGTTCGCACTGAATCGCCAATCAGGGGTATCATAAACATGGCTATGGTGCTTGCTGATCGGCCCTTTGCGACCATGTCCGCGGAGGAGTGGCACCGTTCGATCCAGGCCAAAGTGCACATCTCGTGGAACCTCCACGGTGCCACGCTTCAAGATGATCTCGACATATTTGTCCTCTTCTCCTCGGTCGTGTCCATGACAGGCAACCGCATGCAGGCTAACTATGCCGTGGGCAACGCGTTCCAGAACCGTCTCGCCGCCCACCGCCGGTCCCTGGGGCTGACCGGCGTCTCCCTGGCCCTGCCCCCGATGCACGGCGTCGGCATTCTTGCCGGTAACGATGGCCTCCTGGAGTATTTCGACCAGGCGGGCCTTGCTCCGGCCGGGCCTGACGAGTTGACCTTGCTCATGAAGGCCGCCGTGTACGAATCGCGCCGGGCGTCTGGCGCATCCTTCATCGGCGCGGGCCTGCAAATGTTCAACAAGATCGATGGCATCATCCAAGCCAAACCGACCCAAACGCAAATGTTCTGGGTTGAGCAGCCCGAATTCAGCTTTTTGATGGACCACCAGCGATCCTCGGGCAGCTCCGCCAGCACGCGAGGCGACGAGCCGCTCCGTGAGAGAGTAAACAAGTCATTGGACCACGATAAGGAGGAGGGCGAGGTGACAAAAGGACTCATCATGAAGAGCTTCCTTCAAAGCCTTGCAAATCTTCTCGGCTACACCGTTGTGGCGTTTGATCCTCGATCCCCCATCGCCGCCTACGGCCTGGACTCCCTCAACGCCGTCGCATGTCGGTACTGGTTCTTCAAAGAGCTGGCCGTCGACGTGCCCGTCTTTGACATACTCGGTTGCAGGTCTATCCTGGAGCTGGTAGCGAGAGTATTTTCGAAACTCAGGGCTCAAGTTCTTGATGCCTCGGCGCCAGAGTCTTCGTCATCTGCCTTTCCGCTGGTCAAGCTTCCCGACCCTCGACGGCTCGATCCTGAAGCGTCGCGGCCGCTGTCATACTCACAGCAGCGCCTCTGGTTCCTACACAACTTCCTCTCGGACAAGACGGCGTACAACCTCCTCCTTGTCTGCCACATCGACGGCACTGTCAGGTCTGATCTTCTCTGCAAGACCTGGGAGGTGCTGCTTCATCGACACGAGGTTCTCAGGACTCGCTTCATTGACACGCCAAAGGGTCAGCAGCAAGTCGCCGTTGACGCGTCGGATACTGGCTTCCAGTTCACGACAGTGGAGGTGGATTCCGCTGCTGATGACGCGGCATTTGATGCCAAGGTGAGGGAACTTGAGATGGCTGCCCAGTCATACAACTTTGATATATCTCAGGGTGAACTAGTCCGTTGTTGGCTCCTCGTGTCACCTTCGTCCTCAGCAACACGCCGTTCCCGGCTTTTCCTTGCGTCTCACCACCTGGCATGGGACAGGACATCAACAGCCGTCGTCTTTGACGAGATCAGCACAATCTATAAATCACTACTGCGAGGCGAGGCGCCACAGCAAAACCTCGAGCCTCCCGCGTTCCAGTTTGCTGACTATGCATCATGGCAGCGCCAGTGTATCGACCAAGACACGTTCCGCGAGCCGCTGGTCGGGTACTGGCAGACGCAGCTCGAGGGAGCTCCAGACGCTGTATCTCTACTACCACTGGCGCACGCAGACCAGAGGCCGCCAGTGAAGCAGCTCGAGACGGGCACAGCAACCCTTCGTCTTTCGAAAGAAGTCGGTGCCGCCATCAAGACGTTCTGCGCCGCCCACGCCATGACCCCCTTCATGTTTATGACGGCGGCCGTCGCCGCCCTCTTCCACCGGCTGACCGGCGACGAGGACGTTATCATTGGTGTAGCAGACGGCGATCGCGGCCATTCGGCTTTCGACCGCCTCATCGGCTTCGCCGTCAACATGCTGCCCATCCGCTCCCGCATGGCGCCCGATATGCGCTTCCTCGACCACCTCGACAGCTTCCGCGAGGCGTGCCTCGGCGCCTACGCCCACCGAGAACTCCCCTTTGACTACCTCGTCCACAAGCTCGCCGTCCCACGCAGCACGGCTCACGGACCCATTTTCCAGATCACCGTCAACTATGTCGTGCACGGCTCCTTTGCAACAGCCGACTTTGACGACTTCAAGTTTGTCGAGTATGACCACTTCAACGCACGCTCGCAGTCCGATGTGGGCCTCGACATCGAAGAGGCCATGGATGGCGCGCTGAACTGCGTCTTCGAGTTCGACACGGCGCTGTACTCGAAGTCAGCAATCGAGGAGCTGGCCCGCATGTACGAGAACCTCATGGTGCACGCCATGGAGGCCGGCGGTGAGACGGCCCTGCGCGACGTTAGGCTCGCCTCGCGCGAGGATGACGAGGCCGTGGCCGCTATCCTTCGACCCCGGTGGGATGCAGACTTGATCCAGCTGTGTGAGCAGACATTGTTCCCGCAGCTCTTTGACGAATCGGTGAAACGCTATGCGCACAAGATTGCCGTCATCGACGAGACGACCAGCTTGACCTACCTCGAACTCGACCAGCGCGTCAATGCAATCGCACATATACTGATCACTTCAGGAGCTGAACCTGGCGAAGCAGTCGGCGTCTACATCGAGTCGGGCGTCGACCTGGCCGTCGCCATCTACGGCATCTGGAGAGCAGGGTGCGCCTTCGTAGCCATTCACGACGTGCCCGAAGAGCGCCTGCGTTCCATGATAGAGGACGTCGATATGCAAAGAGCCCTCGTTGACGCGACAGGTCGCGAAGGGAGCCGGGTGCACGAGCTGATCGCCGCTGGCCTCGAGTCCCGCCATGTTCACAGGATCGACCAGATCCAGACCATCGGGCAGTTCAGCGCGCCGCCTCAAATCGCGCGACCCGTCAGAGGCGACGATCCTTTGTGCTGCATCTTCACGAGCGGCAGCACTGGTCGACCGAAGGGCTTGTTCCTGAGCCACTTGCAGTTGCGCATGTGGTACCGCGGCTACTACGAGACAACGGTTGGTATTACTGCCGACGCCACGCTCTTGCTGGCCTCGGTGCCGACGTTTGACATGTCTCTGGTGTCGCTCTTCTCGGCACCGGCGTGTGGGGGTACTCTCGTCGTTGCATCGCGAGAGGCGCGCTACTCGCCCTCGAGCATGATGAACCTCATCCTCGCCAACGGCGTCACGAGCATGACCGTGACTCCGTCCCAGCTCGGTGCTTTGCTAGCCGGCGTCGGCAGAAGCAGCAGAGATCCGAGTTCCTGGCCCCTGCGAAGCTTAGTCCTCGGCGGCGAGGTGGTCCCCGCCAAGGTCGTCCGCGATTTCTTCGCCCTTGGGCTGCCGTTTGCTCGGCTCTGGAACGGTTATGGTGAGTTGGCTCTTGTTCACCACATGAGCCTGATGCCCCTGCTGTTCAACCAACTTGCGCCGAGGTGGACTTGCTGACTCGTTCGTTCGTACAGGACCCTCGGAGACTGCCCTTTCTGTGTCCCTCAAAGAGTAAGCTCAACCAAGTTTTCCAGTTCTGTTTCGCATGCATTGACCAATTTCATAGAATCACCAAACCGGAGACAGCATCTCGTCTCGCGCCGCCGCACTTCCCAGCGACTCTCCGCGTCGTCGACGACCGGGGAAGGCCGGCGCCGTTTGGGGTCCCTGGCGAGCTCTACATCGGCGGCCCTGGGGTGTGCGAAGAGTACGTCAGGCGCCCAGAGATGACGGCGGCGGCGTTCATCCCCGACGCCAACGATGCTGCCGACAACAACATCCCGCGTAGATTGTATCGGACGGGAGATCTGTTCATCGTGCACAGAGACGGAACCTTGTCCGTCAAGGGCAGGATAGGCGGCGATCGGTAGGTCAAGATCCGCGGCATGCGCACGGAGCTCGGCGAGATCGAGACGGCCATTTGGGCCGCCCTCGAAGACATCCTACCGGCCCTCACGACTGACGATGTTGACCCTGTAGTCATTACCGCCGTCGCTGTGGTGTACCGGCCACGCGAACAGCTCATTGCTGCCTACCTCGTGGCGGCGGGTAACACAGTCGATGACATGACCAACGAAGATCAACAGCCGAAGGCCCGCCAGGAACTGGCACGAGCGCTGAGATTCTCCCTGCGCGCCGTGCTGCCGGTGCACATGAATCCCGGTGCATATGAGTTCCTCGAGGAGATGCCGTCCAGCTCGGCGGGCAAGACGGATTACAAGAGCATCCTTGCGCTCCCGCCGCCAGTGGCTGAAGTCGCGGCTCACAACTCCTCGAACGACCAGAGCTGGTCTGAACTCTCCGGAATTCAGCAAGTCCTGGCCGAGATTTGGAGAGAGGCTCTCGTATCGGGTGTCACAAGCGTGCCCGTGTCGCCTCTCGACGATTTCTTCGCTGTCGGCGGCCACTCGCTGGCCCTCGTCAACGTTCAGAACCTCATTGAGGACAAGTGGAACGTCTCGGTGGCTCTCGCCGACCTGTTTGCCTGGCCCTCACTTCAGGGCATGGAAAGGCTGGTCCTCGATGCCCTGGCATCGCTGGCCACGTCTTCGTCCGATTCTTCCCCTGCAGACACCACCGCCGCTGGCAGCGACACGGACGTTTCGGCTCCCGAGAGCGATGCCGGCGAGGAAGCAGTCGACTGGAAGGCCGCAGCCATCCTTCCCTTTGGCATTGATAAGACGGTCCGCTACGCGCCGCTTCATCCTCCTACGGCTGTCATTCTCACCGGCGCCTCCAGCATGTTCGGCATTCATCTGCTGCATCATCTGCTCTCGACAACATCTTTGCATACCATCTTCTGCATCGCCGAGCCCGCCGACAGCCACAGTGCCGCTGTCGTCGGCCTATCTGCCGCTCTGAAGCGATACAACCTAGCCGACGGTCTAGGCGAGGACATGCTTTCCCGTGTCCGCGCCTTCCCAGGCAGCCTCTCGCACCCAACCTTGGGCCTTTCCGAGGGCGAGATTCACTTGCTTGACAGGCAAGCCCACGCCATCTTCCACCTCGCCTCCGACGTCTCACTCCTCGGCAACTTTGATAAGGTGCGCGCCGGCAACCTGGGCCCGGTGCACTTCCTCATCGGACTCGCCCAGGGCCTGCTTCCCGACGCCGACCATGGGGTGCCGAACGTCAAGGCGCTGCACTACCTCTCGACCTGGGGTGTGCCGCATCTCCAGGCATGGCATGACACTGACCTGTCCAGCGGCGGCGGCGACGGTGACGGCGACGGTGACGGCACACAGTCAACCATTCGCCGCTCAGAGGAGGCCATGACGCACATGGTGCCCGGCAAGTCAGGTCGCCTCGCGTACCTCAAGTGCCGCTGGGCGGCCGAACTGCTCCTCGAAAGCGCTGCCGTCAAGGGTCTGCCCGTGTCCATCTTCCGACCCAGCATGACCGCGCCTGCCAACGCCGCCCTGCCTCGCGACGACATCAACAGGCGCATCATCGAGGCCTCGCTGCAGACGGGCAAGGTGCCCCGCTTCGGCGGAGGCATGGGATGGCTCACTGCCGACTTTCTGGCAGCCGCCGTGGCACACCTGGCGTTCCGACAAGAGGGCGGCGTCGCAGCTGAGGCTGGGGCTACGAACAGAAGCAAGATTTGGCACTTCGTGCCCGAGGAGGGCAGCTTCCACGCCTACGCGAATCTTGACCGGGTGCTGGAGACTGCACATGGCGGCGGAGAGCTGCGGGTGGTGGAGCCCCGAGAGTGGTTCGCGACCTTGCGCGCGAGCCGTAATCCCGAAATGATCCTGCAAGCGGCGGTACTCGACGAGTGGTACGCAGCCGGCTGGGTTCCGTTCGAGCTGGACGCCAGGCGGACGCTGGATCTGCTTGCTGAGGAGGCGCATCTCAGGCCAAGAACGGTCGACCGCAGGCTCATCCTGGATAATGTTGTGGGTCACGAGGGCTTCTAGCTCGTGATGTGGTGAGTTGTTCGTGTAAAAAGATAAACATGATAGTGAAAGAGTGCCATGAGACAATGCATGGTCAAGATGACGCGACAATCCGAGCGAGTCAGATGAAGACCGGCGGTCATACATACGTGTAGCAATGGTGGCGCGATTGATCGCGGAGGCTTTCGTCCTGGGTCTAGCTGGGAGATGATCGGAAAAAGGGGGGGGGGGGGAGGGAGCGGCAAAATAGATGCATTAAGGCGCTCGGACGCCTGAAGGAAAGAAATATCTACTATCATATGTCCCCGTCAATCACGGTGCGCCTCCTTTCGTGCCGTCGTCGCCATCTACTGCCGACCGCCATTTTGCGCAGCTCTCGAGGAGCTCTTTGCTACCGGCGGCCTTGATCTCCCTCGCATTCTCCGGGCCTTGCTTGAGATGGTACAGCACGCCAGATCGGAATTTGGCGCCGACACCGCTGAACGACTCACTCAGTCGATCGAACATGAGGAGCAGTACCTGCAGATCTGCCACAAAGCCAGAAGACGTGCGCACGACACGGCCACCGCCGCTATTGAGGGGTGCCGAAGAAAGCAGGTGCTCGATCACGAGGATCCGGGCGCATGTGAAGGTGGGCGCCGCGATCATTGGATTCATGAGGAGGTCGGTGGACACACGGCTGGCCTCCCTGATGAGCATGGCCGTCTTTCGGGCGACGGCTACGCAAAGCTCCCAGTTGGATGTCGCAGATCGACTGGAGCCGTCCTCGCCGTTAACCATATCTTCGTCATGTGAACCTTGTTCAAGCCGCCTCGTCGGCGGTCTGTGGAACAGGAAGACCGTGTTGACATTCATCATGACGTTCAACCACACGACGTAGGTAAAGTCAGAATGGGCGGCGTTGGCGAGGTCGGTGGCAGACCGCGGCAGCATAAGGCGCATCTGTGACAGGTCTTCCTGGAGTGACCCGAGCATGGACTCGTGGCGTTGGGCATCATCTTCGTCGTCATCATCCGATTCAGGCCAGTACATGTGCTCGACAATGCGGCCGAGGAGTACGTACGATATGATGAGATAGTGGAACACATTGGGGCCTGTCTGCTGGGCGCCCACCAGCGACAAGAGCTTTCGAAAATTGGGCGTGAACAGCACGCCTGATTGGGATGGCACGGCTTCGCTGTTCTGAACCGTGTCCTCACCCATGGGTAGGTTCACCCGCAGCTGTCTTTCGTCGATCGAGTGCGCCATGCCAATCGGGAAACACATGCCCCTGTCGAGCATGAATAAAGTCCACATGGTTCTGCGGCGCTCCTCAAGCTCCCTCCAATCGACGAACAACAGGGTCGATGCCGCGGCACTCGACGTTGAATCCATCTGGTTGAAGCCGAGTGCTACACACTGCCGCCACGCCTTGCCGAGGACCAGCCAAGCCGTCGAATGATCGCCGACGACCAGAGCGTGAAGGACGATACAGGCAGCAGCCTGCAGGGTTTGGAGGGGCTCGTCGGGGATGTGCGATGTCTGGCCATATAGATGTTTGGCCACGTCATACCAGCCCGTCTGTTGGGCCTGGATGTCAGCAGCCGTGTGGTTGGCAGCAACGAGGGCAAACAATGCATAAGGAAGGGGGCGTCTTCGCGCGGACGCCGCTGTGGCAGCTGTCGACAATGCCGCCGAGAGGCGTTCCTTGGAAAAAATGGGCAAGTGTATGTAGAACCGCTGGAAGAATATGCTGCAGAGCTCTTCCGACTGTCGTCTGTCGGGCAGATTTGTAGTGGCGGTTACGGCTGGGGAATGCGATGTCTCGGACTCGGGGTGCCCGGGCTCGCTGCTCGGCGCGGCGTCTGGCGGTAGGTCGGCAAGCGGGTGACAAAAATAACAGGACTCCATTAATCCCGCACCCTACCTACCTACCTACCAACCCGTTAATCGGCCTTCCATTCTAATTACATCTCGCATCCTCTGAGGCATAGAGTCAATCCAGCAATTAACGCGTTCTGGATTTACTCGGAGTTCTTCCCAGGCCTCTATAGCTAAGGCTTTAAGCTGCTCTATATCCCATACAGCATAGCGTTGGATATTCTGCTTTGGAATTCTCCAGGCATTCTCTATAGGCGAGAGGTCTGGAGACCCTGGGGTATTAAAGAAATAGCGTAATCCATGAGCTTCTTTCCAAGACCTACAGATATTGGAACTCCCAGGGCCGTGGCCAGAATCTCCATCTTCCTCTAGAATAAAGGACTGGCCCTCCTCTAGCCAGGGCTTAACCTGGCCTTCAAGCACTTGGTCACGATAGACCTGCTGGCTCATCTTCCCATTGGTATTGCCTGGGACCTCGTAGAATACGAGTTCTGACACGAAGTTATACCCAATTGCTGCCCAGGCATGGAGTTTCTTCTTGTGCTTCTCCTGGGGCTGTAGGCGTTCCTGGATACAATCAGGGCAATAGCGCTCGCCTGGTTTTCGGATAATCCAGGCCTTCTTCTCGTAGCCAAGGCTGAAATGGACTTCGTCGCTCCAACGGATATCTCTCCAGCTCTCTGGAGTAGGGCGTAAGGCGAGGGCTTTCTCTGCAGCTTGGAGTCGTCGTTGGGCAATTGCTGAAGACACCCATTGCTTGTCGCAGGCAATACACTTCCTATACCCGAGGGTCCCGAGAGACCTCTGGATAGTTCTCGGGGAGCAGTTTACGAAGACTCCAGCCTCGTAAGCTATAGTCTCCCATCTTAGGGCGCGAGCCTCAAAGCCAGCCTCCCAGATAAAGGCTTCTATCTTCTGTAGGTCTCCTTGTGTAAGGAGACGGGGGCGGCCGCGAGTCTCCTGTTGCTTATCGAGATGGCGTCGGTCGCGTTGCTCGCGCAGGATCTGCCACCCTCGGCTCTTAGAGACGCCAACGTGGTCAAAAAGACGTTGTTTAATATAGGGGATTTTTTGAGAATCCAGGAAATCAGCTACGCCTATAATCTTAGATTTTTTAGGGGTATTATGGTGCTGATGCATAGTGAAAATGGTGTTGTAGTAGGTAGGTAGGTAGGGTGCGGGATTAATGGAGTCCTGTTATTTTTGTCACCCGCTTGGTCGGGTGTCTGTGGGGAATGGACGGACGACTGCTGAGAGGTCTTGGCACGGTCCCGGTCGTCAAAGACGGAGCCCGTGACGGAGGAGCTCATCGACGAGCCAACGGACGAACCAACGGACGGAAGCTCATGCGGCAGGGAGGCGGGTAGCCAGCTGGCAGGGTGTGCTGGTGGTTGTGGGAATGGAAAGGCGGTGCCGTGCGACGCGGCGGCGTAGGGTGTCGATGTGGCAGTCGCATGGCCCGGGCCGCCGCCGAACAACATGGCGTTCAGGTCCAAGGCATCGCCGGGAGGGGACGCGGACGTTTCTTGAGGCGAAAAAGAATAGTACAAGGGCGACTGTTCACTGTCGGGTGTGGGGGTCGCGACCAGGCCGGAGATGGTCTGGATGAGGCCGGGATTCATCTGTTGCAAGGTCGACGGCGAGAGTTGCGGGTAGGGGTAGTATGGCATCGAGCTCGGCATCGGGTACGGCTGGAACTGGAGCTGCTGACCATTCGAGTGCCTGGGGACGTGGCTGAGGTTGTGACCGTTCGCCAGCACGGCAGACGATGCGTGCGAGTGCCGCGCTGGTGGATAGGAGCACAACTCTTGGCGCAAGGTACAGGTGGAGCATGATGGTCTCTGTCCCTGCAGAGATCAACAGAAGGCGCCGGGTCAGCAGTAGAACAGCTACAGGCCATCATGGATCGACCTACGTTGCATCGCTTCTTGCGCGCACGGCACGCGACGCAGACGGCCTTGCCCTTGCTACCGATGCCGGTCCCGGGGCCGGTGCCAGGGCCGGTGCCAGGGCCGGTGGTGGGGCTGGGGCTTGATGCTCCCAACATGATGGAGAAGCCGGCGGTAGTGCGGTCTCCGTTTTCTTTAGACCCACGGCTTAGCGCTCGCTGCGAACGCCGACGCCAGCGGCCGCGGGGTCAAGCAGCTTGATGTTGGCGTTGGCGGGGCTCTGTGTCGTGAATGTGGAGATTGGAGTGATGTGGAGATGGAAGTGCAAGTGAACGTTGAACGTTGATGATGGACCGTACAGGGCGTAGGCAAAGCTTGGCGGCGTGATTGCAGTGAATGAAAAGAAGAGGCAGATGGAGGACGGCCGAAGGTGGTCGAATGGAGCGAATGGAGTGGAGTGCAGACGAGCGGACAGTTTATGTTCGTCGGAGGGAAGGCGGACCATTAATTCAAGTTGAGGGGTCCCTTCCCTTCCTCTCTGCCTGGTCCAGCTGCTTACCTATGATTCAGACTGGACCCCACTACCGAATGAACTGGCTGCCGCTGCCTCACCGAACCAAGGGAATACGGGCCTGGACGCTGAACGAGGCTTACTGTATGCGGATTCAAACAGTCCCCAAGGTGCTTCCTACTTCTTCCCACCTACTTCACTACCTGTCTTGGGTCCTCACAGCGACGAACCTACCTACCTAGGTGCCTAAGGCAAGGTACCTTGGTAGGTACCTAGGTGGTAGATAGGGAGGGAGGGAAGCAGAGGAAAGAGAAAGGGGCCAGCCGACCGAGGCAGGGTCTAGCCAGGGTTCAGCCAAGCTCCTGCAGGCTGACGAGGGTCCCGTCCGTCGAGCTCTTGCCGAAGCAAACGTTCACCTGCCCCTTGGGGGAGAGGTTCCCACGGCAAGTGCAGAGCCCCCTCCTGTCTGCCTGATCTTTTGGGGTCGAGGTGAGGGAAGCACTTGGCAGGTACCCCTGCTTTGCCTGTGGTAGATTGATGGCTCTGGCCACACCCCAGCACCAGCACCCCAGCACGCTATAAGTCTGGTAGGTACCGTATTCAGGGAGGTATGCATTTCCATAACAACAGGGCAACCGATCCCTCAACATCTACACAGCGCCCACACAACGCGACAACGACGCATGACTAGCAGCAATTCATTCAGGGTGCAGGGGTCGCACGACACCCTCTTCGCCAATTAACCCTAACGGCTATGCTCCGCATCCAGTCAAGCCTTCTTCGTCATTGCGTCGACGCTTCTGCACGTCGCAACAAATGAGCTCTTCCCAAGACCCCCTGCATAGATCTGTCGCGTCCTAGAATCGATGCTAGACGAAGCCAAACACGGCAGGGGAGCCCGGAAAGAATGCGAGAGAGAGTGAGCGTGTGTGTCTGTGTGTCTATGTGTCAGAGAGACACGGAGAGCAAAGAAGGGCGACTGCTCTGACAGACAGCCTCGAGACCACACGCAGAACAGCATCTATGCACGGCGTGCCTAGTCATAATCACATCCCTTCTGTACAACAGCATTCTTCCCCTTCGACTCACTCGACCTCGCCTTCGAATTCGGTCTCGGTATGCGACAGCCCCCACGCAACCATGTCAGCCCCTGGTGGGCGCTCCGGAATCCTTCGCATCTGCCGCTGAACATGTGCCGCCGTCCGACCGCCACAAGGCCCCTGCAACTCGTCGCTTTGCCGGTTAAGCTAACCCTGCCCAGTAGTACTGGCTTATGGCTTGACAGGAGCCCTGCAGCTCGGCCGAGAGGCCACCAACGTGTTCACTGGAAAAGAG